AATTGAGACTGCAAACCAAATCTCTCTATCCACTGATCTGCCAAATCAAATTCTCTTCTCCTGTAAGAACAGCATTTTTCCTTAGCTTCAGAGAGGAAAAGAATTACGCAGAATGACTGACAAAGCAAAAGGATTCGTTTGTGTAATGACCATAGCAGCCATCTCGCCCCTGATCTTTCTGTAGCAGTTCGTTCTCGAAGATGGGAGTGATAATTATTATAATTTAGAACAGAGCTTGCTCTTTTTCCTTCTACTGCATCTGCTTGCTGTTCTCCAAATTAACACGTTTTAATCAAAACTAGATATCCCAATTACAGCTGGGGTATTGGAGAGCCCCACTTGGGGTATGGATGCAGTGAGATACGTGCACCTCTGTGCTCCCCCTGGAACAGCCACGTGCTGCCCTGCTCCTTGGCAGGAGCTGAAATGGCCAAGGGGTCACTCTGCATTCTCCTGGCTACTGGGAGGGGATTTCTAGGGGAGTAAGTGAGCAGCCATGTGCTTCTGAGGGTCTCCGTGAGCTCTCTGTCACCAGAGCCAGTCCTCCAGTGTGCCAGGTGGATGCAGCAGGTGAGGAGCCAGGCTTTCCCAGCACTTTCTGACTAGCTGACATGTAAATGGATTGTAAATGGATGGGGTAAATGGATTGTTAGCAGAGGTCTCCGAAATAACACTGAGTTTCCATCGTATCTGGGAACTTCTCACACTCCCTTGGACCTGGCTGCCATAGCAGATACTGCAGAAACCCAGCGTGATGGCAGCAAGGCACTCCTCTCCTGACAGCACACGAGTTTTCAGGGCTCTCAAATCCTCCTGACAAGTTTTACCAAACACAAGTGCTCTGAGATGAACTCTAACATGAAATGCCCCATCTCTGGAGGTGCTCAAGACCATGGATGTGACGCTGGGCAGCCTGAGCTTTTTGGGTGCCCAGCCCAGGGCAGCACGTTGGGGATCAGTAGGGTCTCTTTGTGCCTAGCCATCTTATGATTCCATTACACGCTCATTCTTCAGAAGTTTGAGCAGCTCTGTAATCACAGCTGTATGGTGAGCCCACTCACCCATGAAATCAATGTATTTCCTGCAGGTTGTGCCACACTCTGCTCTCTCCACACCCCAGCAGCAGCCCCGAGGCGATGGAAGCATCGTGGTGCTTCAGGGGACTCTTGTAGGTACGGCACTGAGCCCTGCGGGTTCCTTCACTTAAACAGCTCATAATTCAATGTAGGTGCTCACTGTCGAAAGGCTGTCTGTATTTTTCTCTTAGGTATGCAAAAATAAGCACCGGTGAGTGAAGATGAAAGGAAAAGGTTGCTGGCTCCTTCCCCGGAGATCGTATTTCTTACTTGTTGCATAACTGCTTATTTTAGCATCCATCAGCTGAGCCTTTGTTGTGTAGACAATTCTGTCCTTTTAGAGGATTCGTGCAGTATTATTTGTCCCCAAATGCTTTTTTTGTTGCTTTTATTATTAGATTTATCTCTTCTCTGACAACACCGTGTCAGAGCTCTCTGTAACGCATGCCATACATGCTATGAAACAGAGCATCATATATATCATATGCTTGTGACTCTCCTGTAGTAGAACCACCCACAGGGCATAAGCTCTGTGTATACTCTATGTATGTGTTACATATATAGACTCGTATACAAATTTGGGATCAGTGGACATATATGGTAAGCAAAATCTGGTCGGTGATCAAATGCTCAAAAATGAGAAGCGTGAGAGTTCTTGGTGCCAGTGCAGCTCCATGGATGCTCATTTGTTGAAGCAGAGAACTCTTTCACTGCAGGTTTCCTTCTGTGCCACTGGGTCATGTGCAGGATGGGCACTGAGGGGCTCAGCATTTTGGTTGCATTGCGATTGCTCTGCATGCAGTCCTAGGCCTTAGCTCAGCATGTGACAGAGCTCACAGCAGCAGAAAATGCAGTTCCAGCATCTCAGTGGGCAGTTTTAGAGCCAAAACAAGGCACTGTTGGACAGGGAGGTGGCTTAGTGAGCGTGGGGTCAGCAGGTGGACAAGGTGATCTCAGTGGTCTTTTCCAACCTTGATGATTCCGTGCTTCTGTGGTTTGCACTGAGGCTGTGTCTAGGGGCAATCCAGACCCAGGGTTCTCAACCAGTCTGCACTGCTTGGCAGCTCAGCATTTCCACATACTGGGACATCCTTTAGTGGTTTTGCCCCAGAACCCTGCAGAAATGGCCAGCAGGGGGCTATGGGGCTAGAGGTGTGCATGGGGAAGCCGGCAGGCAGCCCTGAAGACAGAACTATTAATTTTCCCCTTGCTTCTCCAATGGTGCTTTCCACTATACTGCATCAGTGCTGCATCCTCCCCAGGCACCCACTGTGGAGATGGGTTGGGACAACACGTGGATGGATTAAGGTCAGTTTTGACTAATTCAGGGCACTCCTGAGCAGCAGTGTCTGCATTCCCAGAGCGCTGAGCATGCTCTGGCACTTCAGACATGCAAGCACAGCACCCACTGCTTCCAGCTGCACCACAGCGGGTGTCAGCAGTTCAGTTTCAAGCTACACAACCCTCAGCACTTCCACGTTTGTTTCAATGACTTTGTGAGCACTGCCCCTGTGGCAAGGGCAAGGAGAGTCCTGTTTTTTGGGACAGTCCCTGTAGCTCTTGTTGCTGGGGCAGCTTTTGGCTCAGCAGATAAAATGGGACCTAGTGGCTGTAGGTTTCCTTCCTGATTTACCTACGGAGCAGGTCCAGCATTGTATGGAAGAGTGCGACGTAACTCAGAACTGCATTAGGATTAATGAGAAGTAAATAAAACAACCAAAAAAACTCTGTACAGAATGCCTCCATTCTAATTTGGGCATTCCCAGCCTTCTGGCTGTGTGGCACAGTGACTTCACACTTCCCAAGGGCAGCAGTGGGATGCTGGGGGTGCTGGGAGCCTGCTGAGGTCCCACTGCTCCCTGCTGCTAGGAAAAGCTTTTCCTAACCAGTGCCTGATGGTCCCCATTCTTCTCTGGGGCCGCATCTCAGCAAGCAGGCTCCCCAGAGAAGATGACAACATCTTATTTCCAAACCAGAAATAAGCAGAGTGCTGCTCCATCTATGGGGAACTGGGAAATATCCCTCGTTCCCCCAGTATCCCCACACCATGCCCCATGGCCATCCCAGCACCTCCAGGCCCTTCTGCTGCTCACTGACCCCCAGCCTCCTCCCAGGCCTCATTCTCTCCCCTTTTGCCATTTGCTCTCTCCTTTCCACCCACCTTCTGCTCCTCATCCCAATCTGGGGTGCCTGGGGCTGCAGGTGCCCCCAGAGCAGCTTTTAGGAGATCCCAGCAGCCAGGATCAAGCATGTTTATACCATGCATTGTGAGCTGCTTTTTTGAGAGACCTCCAACACCACCAGTTTGGGCACCTTTATCTAAAAGCTCATATAAGGCTGCCTCACGGTCCAATTCAGGGCTGTATTTCCAGAGCTACAATACTTAAAAGCTGATAATTAAATGCAGCAATCCCAGCTATGACCGAAGCAGTGCTCTTCTCCTCCTCATTCTTCATCCTCAGAAGAGCCACTGGACTTTAAACCATCAGGAAATGCCCAGCACAGGTTCCCGAGAGAAAAAAAAACCGCAGCCCAATTCATGGAAGTTTGGGAAATTCGGGCACTCAGTGATGCTCGGCGCGGTGGTCCCAGCGGGCGGCTCGGGGTTGTGCAGCTGCCCGCTAAAGGTGCCCGTGGATGGAGAGCCCAATTTTCACCTCCTTCTGGATAGCATTGCCGGACCCCTCCCGCACAGCGCAGGACCGTTCCATCCCGACTCCCCGTTTCCATCTCTAAACAACCCCCCCCTCCCCCCCGCGCTATGGGGGCAGCCTAAACCCCCCCGGGCTTCACCGCTCCGCACCTCCGGGGGCACCGCGCAACGCAGCGCTGCTCCCCCCAGGGGGGGCCGTGCCGCAGCTCCGCTGCCCCAGCCGTGCCCCGCTCCGCACCGCTCCGCACCCGCGGAACTCGGCCGCGCATTGCGAAGTGTTGCGTTGTGTTGATGGGGGGGGGG